GCCTTTTTACAAAACGGAAACTACAGCTATTTGACTCTTCAGCCCCCCCACCCCACCCCGTTCACTCTTGGTCTTCATGTAGTAGATCCTGTCCTTCTAAAACTCCATCAGCGTGATTATTTCTGTTCATCTTTAAAGCCTGATGTTCTCTGATAGATCAGTGTTAAGGGCAAATGTTTTTACTTGTGCTCTCAGGTCTTTCACGAATATGTTGTTTGAAGAGCAAAAGAATCACAGAAAAAATGAAAACATCCAGTTAAAAAGTATCATTTAATTGCAATGAAGTAAATGTAAAAACACTTTTCTTTATCTGAAACTACTGCTCCCATTGTTTTAAACTCAGTATGTGCGGATGTGAGGGGTATGGCTTTTCATTTGTGTGTGCTCAGCTGGGCGCTCGTGAAAGTGCAAATTGCAACTAGTGGATAAAAACTGAGGGACAGAACTATATCGCCACGCCACATGTGCTAAGTGTGTTATAGAGCACCTATGGGGACACTAGCACTATAAGGAACAAAGAAATCTAAACACTGAATAAAAGACGCCTTTAAACACATACACATGAACACATATGGAGTTTAAGATTAAAAAAACAAAACAATACAACAATGAGAACCCACTGTATTTAAAGTTACATATTGCATAGATCCTCATAGTTACAGTCAGATATGCTTACGATCAGATCAGTACAGATATTAATTCACACAGACACACACCGCATCAGTAAAAGGATCCTGGATGGTGAAAGAATTTCTGTACCATTTGTTTGTTTAACATCTTCATTCATAGCTTGTGAAGCTGTTGTTTTTTTTTTCCCTTACGGACAGAGAAAGATATACAGTCAGCTCATGCTGACATTTGGCTCTCTCTCCCCCCTCTCTCTCTCAGTGGCACCCAGAGAAGAAGTGCACGTCAAAGATTCAGCGTATGAATTATTAATGGTACGGATTAAACGTGCCAAGACACACTGTGGAGCCTGTTTGTTTTATTTGGACGTAATTATTTAATGGCACCTTGTTAAAAATGATGGTGAAGAGAGAAGAGGCGAGAAGAAGGCAAGGGCAGAAGGGAAGAGGAGAAAATGTGAGAAGAGGCTTTGTTTGAACAATAATTAGTAGTGAAATAATTACAAACTACTCAAAGGTTCACTCATTCAATGGAAAGAAAGCGGGGGTGGGGGGGTTGAGGCCGAGGCCTTATACTCAGCTATACTACTATTTCTCTCTCATTCACACACACACAAACAGGCGATCATATTGTTGCATTAATCTCATCTCTGGTGACAGTTTACATGGGTATGTGCAGAGAGGCTGCTGTTCCCTATTTATGCCTTCATAGCAGCAGGCAGTAACACACACACATACAGTTCAAGCTGCTGCCACCACCACTCTGCCATCCAAACAAACAGAGTCTGACAGCATAGCTGGTGCCTGGCATGCAACCCTGCACACACACAAAAACAAAAGCTAGCCTTTATTGCAGGGTCGTCTTTCATTGTTTAAGGGTTCAGTAAATGTCTACCGTGTCCTCACTAACCACCCACATGTCTTAACCCATACTGCAGCTAAATCTGTCCCCCTGGCAACAAGTGGCTACGACCCTGTCTTTTGGCTGCTCCAAGCAGACACATCCAACATAAGCAGTACAATAAAGTGTTAATATACAGTACACACAGACGCAGAAAGATGCACAAACATAAAGTATACACAGTACATATCAGTAATGGAAAGTAGCTAAGTAAGTTTTTTCAACTACTATACTTAAGCTTATGTTCATTGGAACTTGTACGTTGTACCGGGTACAACACTTAAATATTCCTACTGTATGCAACTATGTCCATTAGAGAGCTTTAGTTGCTACTTATTTATTTAGACAATAATATATGAGCAGCTTCTTCAGATTAAACTCACAAAATTTGCTACCAATCAACCAACTGCAACTTACACGCTAATTACATTAATATCATCCATTTCTCAGGTAATTTGACTTAAAACTCTTTAATTGAGGACTTTTACTGGAATTTGTTTTACAGTTTGCTACTACTTTGTATTTTGTTACGGTGTCCTTCATGGGTCCTTCTTTCATCACTGGTACATACGCATATCGAAGCACGTAGCCACTGTTATCTTAGAGTTTCTTCAGTGTTTGCTCACTGACGTTTCCACTTGCCTCCCACCACATGGTGACAGAGTCACTAATCAAAAATTCTCTCTTTGAAGCAGCGCCACTGGATCTGTTTGTGTGGCATCTGTATGTGTGTGAGACCATTTGAGCACATATCACATGTGCCTTTGTGCTCTTAAATGTGTTTTGTTGTGCGCTTGAGTGCATTTATTTAAACTTGTTTGTGCAATTACTTGTGTGTCTATGTGTGTAGGCAGCTGGGTGAATGGAAATGTTGTTATACACATAAAGCACACTTTTGATTGTGTGATTGATTAATGTGAAGTGTTTCCTCCATAACAGGGGATTTACAGTATATCCACTGTCAGGTTTCAAGACACCGTATCAACAAAATTGTATTAATGCATCACTCCACATGATTCATCCAGAGTCGGTGATTACTTTTAGCACATATTCCTGTTTCTATAAAGGCAAGTTAAATCAAGTACCGCAATTGTAAAATTATGCACTGACATACGATGACTGCATCATCACTGCATACGTGCATATATATAGACAAATTTATCTGCCACCAAAGACGGTTTGAATTAGGAACTCTATAAAGTCCCTACTAGATTGTCTGAAGGACAGTAAAGCTTGGATGTTGTTAAATTTTCTTAATTTAAACAAACGGAAAGCTGACACTGTGGTCTTTGGACCCGGGGACTCCCTCATTTCTCCTTATGGTTACGTTGCTTCGTTAATACCCTACTGTAAACCTTATGCAAAAAACCTGGGTGTGATCTTTGACAGTGATTGTGTGGATGCTGTAAAGCATCCACACAATCACTGCTCTCCTGTTCTTTATTGTATGGATGCTGATTCAGCAGAAATTCAACTTCACCATACTTTCAGCTATCAAAATGTTGAGCTCCTCAAGGACATTCATGCTTTTCTTCCAAATTTTTTTAAACTTTATACCTTAGAAATATTTAGCTTTATTTTGAAAGTTTTGCCCCATTCAAATGAATGGGGGAAATTCTACTTCAGCATAATTTCAGCTATTTCAGGTATCAAAATGTTCAGCTCTTTAAGGACATTGATGCTACTACTCAATTTTTCTAAATCTCATACCTTTGAAATATTTAGCTTTATTTTGAAAATCATGCCCCATTGAAATGAATGGGGAAATTTTACTTCAGCATAATTTCAGGTATCAAAATGTTCAGCTCTTCAAGGACATTCATGCTTCTATGCTGAATTTTTCTAAATTTCATACTTTTAAAATATTTAGCCTTATTTTCTAAATCTTGCCACATTCAAATGAATTGGAAAATTCTACTTCAGCATACTTTCAGCTATTTCAGGTATCAAACTGTTCAGCTCTTCAAGGACATTCATGCTTCTTTTCAAAATTTTTCTAATTCTCTCATACCTTTTTAATATTTAGCTTATTTTGAAAATCTTGCCCCATACAAAAGAATGGGAGAAATTCTACTTCAGCATACTTTCAGCTATCAAAATGTTGAGCTCCTCAAGGACATTCATGCTTCTCTTCAGAAATTTTCTAAACTTCATACTTATGAAATATTTAGGTTTATTTTGAAAATTTGCCCCATTCAAATGAATGGGAAAATTCAAGTTCAGCATACCTTATGAGCTATTTCAGGTATCAAAATGTTCAGCTCCTCAAGGACATTCATGCTTTTATTCAGAATTTTTCAAAACATCACACTTTTAAAATATTTAGCTTTATTTTGAAAATTTTGCCCCATTTAAATGAATGGGGGAAATTCTACTTCAGCATACTTTCAGCTATTTCAGGTATCAAACTGTTCAGCTCTTCAAGGACATTCATGCTTCTCTTCAGAATTTTTCTTAATCTCATACCTTTGAAATATTTAGCTTATTTTGAAAATCTTGCCCCATTCAAATGAATGGGGAAATTATTTTAACCTATTGCTTTAAACATTGTACAACACTTGTTTTTTATGTGCTTATACATAAATAAATTGTCTCAATATACATAGGGTACAGTATGTTTCCCACATCACACTGTGTTACTTGCATTATACTGTAGAGCCAGTGAAATTAGAAAAAACAAACCAGATTTCCCTTCTCTGCTCCTCTCTTCATTGTCTAAAGTCTGAATTCAAAGATAAAAGGTTAATTTGCCATATCTGTCCTTCTTGTGGGCCAAATCAATCCACAATACTCTCTGTCACCCATTTTCCTAATCAGACCCTCAAGTCACTATTGGATTTCAATGGAACATGTGCAGATCGAAGACCCGCACAACCACCTAATCAATGAGCCTCAAATGGTTCTGGTTTTCTATAGGGGATCATCTGGTTTTAATGCTTACACAAGGAAGTGACACGTGCTCCAGTGACTTGATACGTCCTCTGGAATCGCATTTGTCATTCAACTCATAGCAAATCACAAAGAGTGTACAATGACTGCATCCAGTGCTCACTGTGTCTGTAAGGGCAGTACATTTGGCACTAAAGAAACAAAGTTAGGGCAACCTCAGTCAAAGTAAAACGTTCATCTTAATAGTGATTCCTCATTGTTTCTCTTTTGTCAATCAAAAGGCAGAAAACGTTTTGGCCCTGGTAACTTTTGTGCCATTGAGAGAAATTTAAGAGAAAGAAGGGGGTCAGTAAGAGCTGTATTGTTACATAAGTTCCTGTAGTTTCCTTCAAAGATTGGAAGCAATTGTAAATCCATTTTCAATTGACCTTGCTTTCATGCAAAGATGGGAATTCAATTTATGCAAAAAGAACTTCTTTTAATGTGACAGCTTTTGTTACACAGACAGAATTGCACCATTGTAACCCTAAAATGTTTTGGCATATGCCTGAATCTTCATGTCCTGACTTTTTGTTGCCATGCAGGTTCAACCATGGCCCCACAGAGCTCTGGGAATGGACCAGATGGAGTCCACACGCAAATCTCCCGCTCACCTATGGCTCATGATAGAGGTGTGTATGTGCGTTGGCTGCTGAGTAGAATTTGATATTTGGCCTTGTCCAATGAGAGAATAGTGAAGATTGCAAGTCTACAAAGACTGATTTGTGTGCATGTGCCAGCGTGTGTTTATGACATGATTTGTATTATGCATGTCCTTAGAAGACACTGTGGTCTCTGTATGTGTGCAACATAATAATGTTCATGAGAAATGCAGACTCATGCATCACACTCTTGTCTGAAATTCAGTTCAGTTCAATTTTATTTGTATAGCACCAAACCAAATAAGGTCTAGACCTTGCTATTATTATTATCATTATTATTATAAAGGAAACACCCAACAAATCCCCCTTGAGAAAACACCTGGCGACAAGGGGAGGAAAAACTCCCTTTAACAGAAGAAACCTCCAATAGACCCCGGCTCTTGGTGGGCGGCCTTCTGCCTCAACCAGTTAGGGTGAGTGGATAGAGGAGAGAGAAAAGAAAATTAAAAAAAAGAAAAGCAACAAGACACAACAAAGAATCAAACACTGGGTAGGTTGATGTGGCAAGTGACTTCTCATCAGACACATAGAGCTCTGGAGCCAGGGATACCTTCAGAAAGGTACAGGAATAGAGAGAGAGACACACTACGAGAGACAGGAGACACACAGTTAATGACTAGCAATGGTGGCATGTATGGAGAGAGAGGAGAGTAAAGAAACTTAGAGCATCATGGGGCCCCCCTGCAGCCTAGGCCTATAGCAGCATAACTAAGGGAAGGCTCAGGGTCACCTGATCCAGCCCTAACTATAAGCTTTATCAAAAAGGAAAGTCTTAAGTCTAATCTTAAAGGTAGAGAGGGTGTCCGCCTCCAGAACTGAGACTGGGAGTTGGTTCCATAGGAGAGAAGCTTGATAGCTAAATGCTCTGCCTCCCATTCTACTTCTGTAGATTCTAGGAACCACAAGTAAACCTGCACTCTGAGAGCGAAGTGCTCTGTTAGGATGATATCACTCTACGAGGTCTTTAAGATATAATGGAGCCTTGTCATTAAGGGCTTTGTATGTTAGGAGAAGGATTTTAAATTCTATTCTGGATTTTACAGGAAGCCAGTGAAGAGAAGCTAATATGGGATAGATATGATCTCTCTTGCTAGTTCCTGTCAGTACTCTGGCTGCAGCATTTTGGATTAACTGGAGGCTTTTTAGGGAATTATTGGGACATCCTGATAGTAAAGAGTTACAGTAGTCCAGCCTGGAAGTAACAAATGCATGGACCAGGTTTTCAGCATCACCCTGATAGTAAAGAGTTACAGTAGTCCAGCCTGGAAGTAACAAATGCATGGACCAGTTTTTCAGCATCACTTTGAGACAGGATGCTCCTGATTTTTACGATATTGCTCAGGTGAAAGAAGGCAGTTCTAGAGACTTGGTTTATGTGTGATTTAAAGAACATATCTTGGTCAAAAATGACTTTAAGGTTCCTCACAGCAGTACCAGAGGCCAGAGCTATGTCATCTAGAGTAACTATATGGTTAGACAGCATGTTTTTTAGGTTTTCAGGTCCAAGTACAATAACTTTGGTTTTGTCAGAGTTTCATCTAGGCTTTTATGTCTTTAAGACATGCTTGAAGTTTGACCAGATGATCTGATTGTTCATAGATAAATATAACTGAGTATCACCTGTACAGCAATGGAAATATATGCTGTGTTTCCTGATAATATTGCCTAAAGGGACCATGCATAAAGTGAAGAGAATTTGAACTAGCACAGAGCCCTGTGGAACGCCATGGAAGATTCATCATTAACATGAAAAAAACTGGAATCTATCTGATAAATAAGCTTAGAGTGGTTCCTTTAATCCCAATAACATGCTCTTCTGCCCTCAGCTAAACGTCAGCTGCTTAGCTTATGCAGTGAGCTAAACACAAGAGGCCCACAGAGGAAAACTCCGGAGACGATGAAGAATAATTCTTTGTAGCTCTATTGTAGAACTCTAATTTATACTTTCTTTCCTCTTTGTTGTAAAACTGAAACAGAAATAAAGGACATGCATTTTTATTTTAACATGTGATCCGAATACATTATACATAAATTGTCATTAGAAGTCACGATACACCAAGTTAACATTGTACTAACAGAGGATAAAAGACCGGAAGCAAGATGGTTACAAATGCTAACAGAATGCTAACGTCGTGTTGCCAATACACATGGAGAGGAACAGGATATGTTAACATCAATGTAAAACGCTCAAACTACACACTATATTAAAATGGCACAAGATAATGCTACATAGAGTAAACATAGCACCAGAAACTTACTGACATGTTATGCTAACCCAAGGCGCACCAGAGCTTGAAAGAAAGCCATGAAACTATTACGTCTTATGTCTTGAGTGTATCCCTAAAAATGTCTGGGCTGAAATGGATATAAACTTAGTTCCTGTTGGAGACGCTCACCCACTAGAGGGAACTATAAACCAAGAAAATTAGCTAGAGCTTACATATTTCCCTTAATGGACTAAACTAGACGTTCAAACAAGATAATTTGAAGCCTGAAAGGCAGAATACATGCTCCCCATCCGACATCCAAGAGATGTTACCATGCATAACGTCTAGCAACAAACAATGTAAAGGATACCTAGAGCCCATAGTTTTTTTTGTTTGTTTGTTTGTTTGTTTGTTTGTTTGTTTTAGGCATTGTCCAAAGGAACAAGCAGGACAAGTCGTTTATGGGTCTCTGTTACAGTCTCTGTTCGCCCTTGCGGATATCTTCCTGACTCTGCCATCCTGGCTGGGGAAAGTCTTTGTGATGAGTCCAAGAGGCCATTCATTCCTCTTCTCTTGCACATCTCTGAGTAGGATGACGAGCAGAATACCTGCTCACGTAATAAGATGTTGTGATCAGTGGTGTCAAAAGCAGCACTGAGATCTAAGAGGACAAGTATGGAGACAAGTCCTTTGTCTGAGGCTAGGAGAAGATCGTTTCACCAGTGCGGTTTCTGTACTATGATGGACTCTAAAACCTGACTGAAAATCCTCAAACAAATCATTCTTGTGCAAGTGGTCACATAACTGCTTTTCAACAGCTTTTTCAAGGATTTTAGAAATAAATGGGTGATTGGATATTGGTCTATAATTAGCTAGGACACCTGGGTCAAGAGTAGGCTTTTTGAGTAGAGGTTTAATTACTGCAACTTTAAAAGCCTGCGGAACGTAACCTGTTAATATAAAGAGATTGATCATATTTAATATGGACATGTTGATTAGGAGTAAAACATCTTTGAGCAGCCTAGTCAGGCTGGGGTCTAAGAGACGTTGGTGATTTAGATGAAGTGATTGTTGAGGTCAGCTCAGAGAGATCTGCAGGAGAGAAGCAGTGTAAAAATATAAATGAGGTCTTACAGATGTTTCTGAAGCTGTTGTATTTGATGACTCATCTGTGAAAGTTGTGGAATGGCATAGAAGTGGTTTGTTTTCATACCAGGGAGAAGTGCATGAAGATTAGAGACTGTATGTTAGCAAAGCTCAGCAAGAAGCATCAGCGGTTGTTGTAATGAAAGATGTTCTGAGGGGATGTGAGGACTTGAAGGGCAAAGTGTTAGCACAGAGATGTAAACAAAGAATTTAACTAGACTGGCTTAAAACAAGTCCATAAGAGTCTACTGTTCCAAACTAAGTTCCCTCAGCAAGTACTGTATACCGTAACAAAATATTGCTTTTCTGACAATGCTTGTATTAAAACTTATTTTTAAATAAACATATACTGGATCAAATGATAGTTGTTGTAGGTGATGGTGAGCAGGTGTATATAGAAACACATATAGACACAAGGTTTTAGCATTATGTTTTATTGATGGCCAGCCTTTAGTTTTGCCCACAACTTGTTGCCAAAGACTTGTAACATGAATGCTAACCCACAAGCCACATCTGCCAGCCAGACAGGAAATTGTTTTCAGCAATTATGGCCACTTCTCGTCTATCACTAAAAACAGCAGAACTGCTCATTTAAAAAAAAAAAGCGCATCCCCACAATATTGAAAAAAAAACCCCAGAAAACTGAAAAACTGCTCCTCTCTATCACCCACCAAAGAGCAGTTAAGTCAATGAGAGACAGAGGGAGTGGATAGATGAAGACTGAGAGAGAGGAAGGCACTGTAAAAGGTTATTTCCCAACATGATGAAATCAACCTGGAGATTGAATGCTGCTCTGTAATGCCAGTAAAGCCCCCCACCCCCCAAATCTGTTTTCCTAGCTAGGATTAGCCCCCCCACACACACACGCACACCCCACTTTACTCAAGTGTCTGTCTCCCTAAGAGTCTCTATGCACTCTTCATTTCCATAAATCTGCTGAATGTCCCTTTTTTCCCCACTTTCTCTCGTGTGCTTCACCGACTGCCTGTTGTTGTTGTCCAGCTGAGAGCTTCAATCGCTTTGCCAGAAAGAGAGAATGGTTCATGTGTGTGTGGAGAGGGAGAGGGAACGAACCAGAGAGAGAGAGAGAAATCCTTGAATGTGTTATTTGCTTTTAGCACTGTCTGCACAATGTTCCTCTCCCCATCCATTTTCCAGGCAATTTAAAGTGCAGTATTACAAACTGCATTTTTTTCTCCTCCTCTCCCAGAATCCCCTTACCCTAATGGAAGCAAAACATTACAATAATGTCCTCGCTCCTTAAACCCAGTACTCGCAGCCTAAGCACTTTCAGGCCCCAA